TCTGCTCTTTGTGCCTCTGGTGAGATGCGTGTGGCAGGGCAGTTCACCTCATGAACTAGGAAGCAAAAAAGGCGGGAGAGTCTAGGCCCTAGATCCCCTTTGAGACAGCTCTGAACCTCCAAGTGTTTCCCGATGGTCTCCACCTCCCAAAGTTCCACTGCTCCACCTCACAGGGCACTGAGCCTACATGGGCCCTGGAGGCTCCAACCCACAGGAGAGAAGTATTCACTCAACACGTACAGCTTCTTCCTTTGCCCCCAAACCCACCTCAGCTGTTTCTAATTGCCTTGCTTTTGCTGTGTACAGAATGCCCAGAATGCCTATGGAAAGACAGTGTAACAAATCGCCGAAATATTTGCTGAATCTGTGCCCTGCTGGTCTGCTGTGGGGAGGAGGGGCTCGGAACCCATCACCATTTGTAGGTCCCTGAGCCCAGCTCGGGGTATCGTGGGTAGGTCATGGCTTTGGGTGGGACATTTCTGTGGTAGGGATGTTTGCTTTCCTCAGGGCACATACGTCAACGAGGGTCAGTGGAGGAAAACAGGCCGTCGTTTCCCAGGGTGGGTCCAGTTGTCAGCCTGTGCTAGCAGAGCATCGGCAATGCGGAGTAGCACCGGCTGCTCTTCCCCACCCAGCATCTGGTGGAACAAGCGGGGAGGAGGCCGTTAGGGCTTCATTCTTTTTTAGCATCATGTTAAATTGGCCATGAAGCCAGGGATGGTGTGATTGAATTATAGGAAGGCTGGAGCATTAAATAAAAATCCAGGAGGCAGGGGGTTTCGCTCAAGGTGGGCTCGACCCTTATGGGAGGCGATATGGATCAGGGGAAAATAAAACCAGCAGAGGAGGCAACATCTCTCTGCTACCAATTCACCTCACTTAATAATGGGGATGCACTCATTGTGTGTGCATGTGTGTGCACGTGCAATTGTGAGTACTCGTGTGTTGTAACTCTCTGCAAAGCAACTTTCGCTGAAAAACAGAGCAATTCCTTCTGGAGGGACTTTCCCCATTCCTTAGCTGTCAGTGGGCCCCCACGGTGTGGTCAGGTGGAACTTCTCAATGCCATTTCTCTGCTTCTTGCTCGTGGCTCTTCTGTGTGTCCTTGTCTTCCTCTCTTGTTCACATTCATCAGTCAAGCAGGCTGACCCTGTCTTCTGATGAGGATGTTAAATCCTAGCTTATTCCAGATCTGTGGGGACTGTGTCAGGTGCCAGTGACAGAGTCCCTGTCAAAGGAAGGATGTCAGAAAAGCTACCGTGTCACCTGCCCATCACTCATCCCCACTCTCCTGAGCTGGTGCTGGCTCCCTCCCGCCTTTGTCTTTCTTCAGGCTTCTCTCAGAGGTGCTCTGTGAGTTTCTCCAGTCGGTTGAGGGTGGGGCAGGAGGCAGAAAAGCCCTGATTTGCTTACTGATTTCTGTCTTATTCCTGTCATGGCTGATTTGGGGGTAAGAGGGCATCAGTGGACCCTGACCTGGGAGGGCATTTTCTAGTACACTCTGTGTTCATTGGTTTTGCTGTTGCTGGGTTAGAACAACCCAACTGAAATCAGCCTAGGAAAGGAAGGCTTTATTTCGACTGACAGTTCTGGCCTGGGTGCAGTTAGTCATGGTGGGGAAGGTGTGGATACAGCAGCATTAGGCTGGCCTGGCTGTCAGGAAGCAGAGAGAGAGAGAGGGAGAGAGAGAGAGAGAGAGAGAGAGAGAGAGAGAGAGAGAGAGAGAGAGAGAGAGAGAGAGAGAGAGAGAGAGAGAGAGAGAGAGAGAGAGAGAGAGAGAGAGAGAGCAGGACATGTGGCCAAGCCATAAAACCTTGAGGTGGCATCCTAGTGACATACCTCCTCCAGGGAGGCTCTGCCTTCTAAAGATCCCATAGCATCCGGAAACAGCACCACCAATTGAGGACCAAGTAAACATTTCATATTTAAACCCCAATGTGCCCTCCACAGTATTCTTGCCACGCGGATGTTTTAACCACCAATAACCACGAGAAACTAGATGAAAGTAAAACATATAAAGTCATCAAGATGAGTGTGGGTAGGGAAATGGATTATCGGGTAAATGTACTGCGTTCAAATCCCCAGAACCTCTGTAAAAACAAACATGAGTGGTAGTGTGTGTGACTGTAACTCCAGCCTGGAAGACGAGGGGGGATTGCTGGCAGGGGTGTGTGTCACTGATCACCAGCCTAGCTCCAGCTTCAGAGAGAGACCCTGTCTATCTCAAGGGACTAGGCAGAAAGTGACAGAGCCAAACATCCAATGTCCTCCATACCAACTATGTATGTGCATGGACTTCACACTCACATACACACAAATGTGCAAACCCCACACACATGTATACACACACACAACACACCCTCACACACACGATGGCTCTCCAGTATTTGTGTTTTAATATTTATTTAACTATAAATTTAAATAACAGCGGTATTTTCCTGAAAATTTAATGATGGGTTTTAGGTGCAAGTTGGTTTGCCCGTGCTTGTCAGCTTCCTGAGCCTGGGTCACCCTGATTTAGGCAGGTATCTGAGGCTCACACAGATCCAGGCACCCATAGGCCTCTGTGGCCTTACCAGCTACTAGTAGGAAATGCACAGATTGCTGTGGGGAGCCTCACTTGGTGCCTGAAGAGCCTGGCATGCCTCTTCGAGGGGACTCTGAGGTGACTTCTGCTGGTAAGAATGGATACGGTTGGGCTGGAGAGATGGTTCAGCAGTTAAGAGCGTGCAGCTGCTCTTGCGGAGGACCTGAGTTTGGCTCCCAGCACCCAAGTCACAATTGCTTCTAACTCCAGCTCCAGAGGATCTGATGCCCTCTTCTGGCTTCTGCAGGCCTTGTACTCACAAGAGCAAATGCACATGATTGAAAATAATAACAAAATAAAAAGATTGGACATGCGTGTAATGGTGTCCATATGGATCCATCAGTTCTGTGGTTGGGCCTTTTTGGACCCAACATCCTATAAAGCCTGCAAAGACCCTCCAAGTGGCACCATGAAGGAACTTAGTGCAAGACTCTTAGAAGATTCCTCTTCAGCCACAAAGTCTTCCTTATTGGCTTCCTGCTAAAGCTACTGCCAGGTAGCTCTTGGCTTCTAGTTTTACCTCTTGTTAGTCTCTAGAGCATCATGGTGTCCAAGGCCAAAAAGCACCCATAACGTGGTTTCAGACACAACATGTCTCAGCCTGATAGGTCTCAGCTGTGGATTCAGAGAGTCCACCTGCCATCCCTGAGATCAGCTCAACTTGAGACCCTGACTGAGCCCTGTTGGTCCTCCCTGAGCTGAGGACATCACCTGTGGGAACTGCAACACCAGCTGTGACGACTAACCTGCTGGAGCTGCCTTCACAGGGCCCCACGGGCTGTGTGTTGCTTTCCCACAGCTGTGGAGACTGACGTCCAAGAGGAAGGCACCAACAGGCTGGGTTTGTCCTGGAACATCTCTTCCTGGTTTGCTTGGCCGCCACCTGCTTGCTTTGTCCTTCTGTGCATGAATTTCTGATGTTTTCCCCTGTTTTTATCAGAGCACAGACCGGATAAGGACTCTCTTGACTTCACTTAACCTCAATTTCCTCTTTAGTGGCCCTTGTTCCAAATAAAGTCACGGGGACTTCCTCCAGGGCAAGCGTGGGAGGAGTAATTCATTCAAAGGGAGAAGCAGACACTCGAAACCTGGCCGGTGTGGGTTAGTGTGTGCCTCGGCTGGGAGCCACACCTTGGCCTTTAAGTCCTTCAGTGTTCTCCGCCATTTCTCCCCTTTCACTGTGTAGAATGTTCTAGTAATTGCTGTCTGTGGCTGTAACGAAACACTGACTGAAAACAGCTTGGGGAGCAAAGGGTTTATCTGACTTAGAACTGCAGGCTGCAGTCCACCACTCTGGGGACGCCAAGGACGGGACTTGAAGCAGCTGGTCACATGACATCCACAGTCATGGGCAGAGAGAAATGAGTGCCAGCACATGCCTACTGTTCTGCTTGCCCCCTCCTTGTCAGTCAGTCCAGGCTCAGCCCGTGGGGTAACCCTGCACACAGTCAGGGTGGCTCTACCCACCTTAATTAACCCACTTTAGAAAAAAACCTTCAGAGGCATGGCCACAGGCTGAGCCAACCTGGACAGCTCAGGCCCTCCTGAGATTCACTGAGACCCTCTTCCCGGGTGAGCCCACACTGAGTTAAGCTGGCAATCAAAACTAAGCATGTCTCCATTCCTAAATGTCGTTTTTTTATTAATTGAATACAATTTGAGTGATAGTATTTTGGGTTAAGTAAAACATTACTGGAATTGCTTCCATCTGTTCCTTTTCAAGTGTGGATAGTCACAGACTTAAAGATTACATCATGGCACGGCCCCTGGAGAGTGGACAGGGCCACCCCTCCTGTGGAAAGGACTTTTTTGACCCCTTGCTTAGCCCCATTACTTATCCACTGCCCCTCCCTCCCATCCTCCAATTGGGCTCAGCCATCTCTGTGCTGCTGGCCAGAGGCGAGGGACCTTCCAGGTGGTGAGGGGCTAAGGAGGGTGACTTGTGCCCCTCCTTGTGGTCTGTCTTACAGGGGCATTGTCTAAGACACACTGATTCTCAGTGCTCACCTCCTGAGTGCCAAAGCAAACAGATAAAAAGGGCCCCCACTTCTTATTCCACCTCGAGTTGCTAAAGCCAAGATCCTGTTTTACCCTCCTGCCAGTTCCCTGGAAGGAGCTAAGGGGTGAAGAGGAAAAAAAGTTTTATCTAGGGGTAAACAAGATGGCTCAGTTGTTAAAGAGCTTGCTGCCAAGTGCCAGGACCCTAGAAACCCACATGAATGCCAGCTGGGCTTGTTGAGGGCCCACAATTCTCCCTGAGACATGAAATAGAGACCCCGCTCTCTGTTCTTTCCCAGGTTACCCTCCTCTAAGTAATCCAGAGAAAGACTGGTGCCCCTCCCTTCCCTCATCCCCAGTCTGACTGGCAGAGTCTGCTGGCTCACAAGTCATTCCTTATGGGGCTCTCACTCACCGGCTTCGTACAAGATCCTTTTTGAGGTTTGCGATTTCCTTGTCTATATACCTCATGCTCTTCACTGTCTTGTCTGGCACCTGATGGACAGACAGATGAGAGGAAAGGAGACATTAATACCGTTGCTCCAGGTGGAGTCGGATAACAGATCCCCCATATCCAGTGAGATAACCAATACACAGAGAGAAAAGTTCCACCCCAGCTGATGGTTTGGGAGGCTCCAGGCTGTGTCAGGGTCAGGGTGTGTGACACAGTGGAATGGCTCACTTCACAGCTGGGGAGCCAAACGGAGAAGGCATGCAGCCAGTGACCCAGAGACTTCTCACTACAAACAGCCTCGCACCGAGGACCAGGGCATCCTGCATCCAAACTGTAGCAATGCCTGTCCAGGCTGGGAGGCTCCAGGCATCTGCGCTCTTCTCTACCCTGGTAGGGGCCGCGGGGCACAGTGGGCATGGTGAGGGTTCTGGAGGAATGTAGCTGAGTTCTCATCTTGGTCTGCCAAATGGCTAGCTGTGTGGACTGGGGAAGCATTCCATCTTTGTGGGCTGGTCAGCATCTTTAGGAGAAGGGGGCATTGTCTCTAGCTCTGCCCCTCCCCTGTCCCCGGTTGAAGACTAACTGAATTGCCAGATTCCTGAGTATTTGGCAAGTATTTGGCAGTGTCCAGAGAGCTCAGTGATTAAAGGAGGTGGCACCAACCTCAATGGTCTGAGTTGGATTCCCAGAACCCCATGGAGGGAGAGAGCAAAGAACCAGTCTAATTATGCTGGGACCTCCGTGTGTGTGTGTGTGTGTGTGTGTGTGTGTGTGTGTATGTGTGTGTATGTGTGTGTATGTGTGTGTGTGTGTGGTGTGAGCATGTTCCCCCACGTATACATGTGTGCAGTGGTGTGTGAATATCCCCCCTCAAACAGATAAATAAGTAAAAAATATAACTTAAAATTGAGAAAAAGAAAGAACAAGAACTTTAAAAATTGCTACTGTTTGTGTCATTGGCAGTTGATTTTAACACTGAATCCATTCCCTCCCAGTGGCTTTGACCCCTTTATGCTCACACAAGCAGGATCCCAGGTGGAGAATCCTGGGAATTATTTGAGGCTTTCTCTTTTCACTTTTTTATTAGCCTTAACTAGACATTGGGTAAAACGTACAATCCACAATTTCATTATACAGAACTGGGCCAACATTTAAAAAGATGATTTAATTAATTATACTTTATATGAAAGCTGCCTTTCTTAGGATCCAGTATGGAGAAATACTTGTCAGAATGCTTTGAAATTAATATTCCCCCTTAGGATCTTATGTAAGTAAAAAGAAATGCTAAGGAATGATGGGAAATGGGTCCCCTCAGATAAAGAGGTGGTAAATGCATTGTGGCAGCCTTTCAGAAGGACCATTCATCCAGGACTTCCAAGTGCTTTAGAAGGGAGTCTTCCCCTAGACCTAACATCTGCAGTTAGATCCTGCAAGAGACTATTCCTGACAGATGTGGAGGGTCCCTGGTAAGACCATTCAGTTTCTTATGAAGGCAAACTGCCTGCAAGTCTTTGATGGGGGATGCCCTTCTGTATGCTGGGAATATATGTTTCTCTTATTGGTTGATGAATAAAGTTGTTTTGGCCAATGGACAGGCAGGATGTAGTCAGGCAGGAAGTATAGGCAGGGCTACCACACTAGGAGAATTCTGGGGAGAGGATGCAGAGAGTGAGTCATGCGGGAGATGCCATGCAGCTGTAGATAACAAAAGGAACCTGGGCATCACCATAAGTTAAGACCACGTGGAGATACACAGATTAATAGAAATGGGTTAATAATTAAGAGAGAGCTAGCCAATAAGAAGCCTGAGTCATCAGCCAAACAGTTTATAATTAATATAAGCCTCTGTATGTTTATTTGGGACTAAATAGCTGCGGGACAGGGCAGGACAGAAACTTCCGGCTACGTACTTCACATGAGAAGACAGACTAAACAATTCCGATGCATCTAGATGGCAGAATGCTATACAGCAATTAAAAGTGACGTACTTCCAGTGTGGTGATGAAAGTACCATCAGTGATCTATGGAGATGTTTTGAGTTCTTTCAAGTGAGAGGACGAGTTAGAAAGCACTGTCTACAGCATGATTCTGTTTTTACTTTAAAAAATGAAAATATATTTTTCAAAGACATGGCTCCCAGACACAGTGTTTCCTCTGTGGGTGGGGCTGTGGCAGGCTTTATTTATTTTTTCTTAGCTAGTGTAGAGATCATATGTGTTCTGGGATCAAACACAGGCCCTCATGCCTGCAAGGTAAGTGTTTTACTCACTGAGCCATCACCCCAGCTATTACATGGAAACCTTTGCCTTGTGTGTGGGGGAATGACACTTGGTAACCAACCCATGACAATGTCCCGCTTTGAAGTATATTTTTAAATTTTTACTTCATTCTTAAATTATACGCACACATGTCACTCTGTGCAGGCGAGTGTGGGCGCCTACAGACGCCAGAGAGAAGTGGATGCTTGGTTCCTGGAGCTAGAGTTCCAGGAGGTTGTGAGCCCACAGGTGTGGGCGCTGGAAACTAAATTAGGGTTATGTGGAAGGGCAGAAGCACTCCTAATCACCGATTCATCTGTCCAGCCTGTGTATTATTTCCATGGGCCACTGAGTGACACCTGCCGGTGTATCAGGGGTCCACGTCGCCACACTACAAAGAGCCTAAGAGGCAGGGTTAGAGAATTGACAGCCCTGTCTCAGCCTGGCACATCTGGTTAGAGGATTGACAGCCCCGTCTCAGCCTGGCACATCTGGTTAGAGGACTGACAGCCCCGTCTCAGCCTGGCACAGCTGGTTGGAGGATTGACAGCCCTGTCTTAGCCTGGCACAGCTGGTTAGAGGATTGACAGCCCTGTCTTAGCCTGGCACATCTGGTTAAAGGATTGACAGCCCCGCCTCAGCCTGGCACATCTGGTTAGAGGATTGACAGCCCCGCCTCAGCCTGGCACATCTGGTTAGAGGATTGACAGCCCTGTCTCTGCCTGGCACATCTGATTAGAGGATTGACAGCCCTGTCTCAGCCTGGCACATCTGGGAGATGGGATGTGCCTCATCTGTCAGCACTTCAGTGGGTCGTCAGGAACAACTCTCATTGTCATCTGTTATTGCTTTTTATAACAGTCGCAATGCAGCAGTGACAGTCACCTGGAAGAGGGGGTCCCGGTTCTTGGGACACATTTGAGTACCAATGAATATGAACAAAGTTAAAAGTGTATGAGGCATCCCAGAACTACCCCTTTAAAGGGAATCTTGCTTCGTAGCCCAGGAAATCCTCAAACACACAGTCCTCTTGCCTCAGCCTCCCAGGTGCAGTCACCACCCCGGGGTCCCCAAATTACTTCTTTTTACAACCACTATAGAGGTCACTTAGCCTCTCTCTCTCTCTCTCTCTCTCTCTCTCTCTCTCTCTCTCTCTCTCTCTCTCTCTCTCTCTCTCTCTCCTCTCTCCCTAGCTACCTACCTGCCATCTATCTATCATCTATCTACCTATCTGTCTTCTATATATATATCATCTATCCTCCTACCTGTCATCTGTCTGTCTGTTTGTCTGCCTATGTATGTATCTATCTATCTATCTATCTATCTATCTATCTATCTATATCTATAGTGAGAAGCTGCAAAAGTACAGCCCCAGCCCACAGGCATCACAGATGATGGTGTCTCAAGAGACACTAATGGGGCTGGGTTGTATCTCCCTGGTAGAATGCTTGCCTAGCAGGTGCAGAAACAGCAGTAGTGGCAGCAGCAAGAACAGCAAGAGAGATTGCAGTAGAGCTGCACAGTGATGTCATAGGGCAATGCAGTACTCCTGGGTGGTAATGATGGAGTCAGCACAGCTACTACTCTGCCACTTATGTAAAAGTGCTCCAGGGGCTGGCTCAGCGGTTAAAAGACTTGTTGTACAAGCTTAAGGACCAGAGTTCAGATGCCCCAGAACCCACATAAGTGCCAGATGGCATGGAAGCCCTCTTGTGAGTCTAGTCTGGGAAGGTGGAGGTGTGGGATTCCCAGAGCAAACTGGATAACAAGACTAGCCACATTGGTGGACTCTGGGTTTGACAGAAAGACCTTGTCTTATTGAATAAGGTAGAAGAACAGTGAAGAATGGTTCCTGATATCAATCTTGGGCTTCCACATGCACACACACCCATGTGCATGCACACACACATGCACACACACCCATGTGCATGTGTGCCCCAATATACAGGCAACCACACGTGTGCAAAAGGCACACCTACATGCACGCCATGTGCCATACACCACACATGCATAACCATGAAAATAAGATTAAAAAGTACAGTGAATGCAATTGCATGTGATACAGGACGCTTGTGCTGATAACTGCCTGTGCTGCTGGCTTACGTGTTTGCTGTATTGCATTTTTATGCACGTCTCTTATTTATAAAGAACCATTCGCTCTAAGCCAGGCTGCTGTTGTTCTGGTAGCAGTCTTGGATGTCCCATGTTTATCCAGCCTCTTGATTGTATTGCTTTCTTCTGTGACAGATTTAATCTAGGGTGATTTTGCTCACCAAGTTTTGAGCAACAGGGATCTCTCTTTCTCTCATGCACGCACATATATACAGGCAGGCTGTGCCTCCTAGCTTTGTATAAGTGCAGTCTGTGATGTCTGTACAGTAACTGTGAGACCCAACAATGCATTCCTCAGGTGTCCTCATCAGAGAGCAGTGCATGGCTCTATGCTCCCTGCCCCAGCAATCCCACTCCCGTAGAGGTAATGCAGCTTCCCCATGCGGATGTCCGCCACGGCAGTGTGACTCACCCTGTAGAAGCCTCAGTGCCCAGCAAACAGGCACTGTGGGGCTAAGCCATGGTTTGCCCAGACAGTAAAACGGCTCACTTCCATTGCCAGTGTTTCAAGTTGCTGTAGATGTTTGTTTATTGGTGTGAGAGCGTGGCAGTGAGCTATAATTTCAGGGGAAAATGTCATAAGGAAATTAGATCATGGAGAGTGCTCATATTTCCTTTGTCTAGAAATTTCTAACAATTTTCTATCATCTCATACAGATGATTTTTTAAAT